CCCCCCCCCCCCCCTTCTCTCTTTGTTCTGGTGACCATTGTCCCCAGTACAGGAAGTGATGGGAAAATTTTGAGTTGTCACCAGAACAGAAATATCTTCCAGTCTTCCAAATGTTTCTTAGCGGGGAGTTCTCCTCACTTTCATCTCACTTCCTGGTTTGTTTAAAAGTTCAGAAAATAAAATCTACCCAGAAGTAGCCGAGGTTGTGTAGAGAGGTGTCACAGAGGCACAGGATGACGCAGGAATGACTGGAGACACAAGAGAGCACTGGGGTCACTGGAGGTACAGGAGCGCTGGGGTCACTGGAGGCAGAGGAGCGCTGGGGTCACTGAAGGTACAGGAGCGCTGGGGTCACTGGAGGTACAGGAGCGCTGGGGTCACTGGAGGCACAGGAGCACTGGGGTCACGGGAGGTACAAGAGCACTGGGGTCACTGGAGGCACAGGAGCACTGGGGACCCCCCAGGCTGAACAGAAGAAGAGTGCGAATGGTGGACAAAGAGATACAAGCCGAACCTCCAAGATCCACGTATATGATTGTCTGATCGCACTATCCATCGCTTCATCCCCGACAGCGACCCCAAAGGATGAAGAGCTCGGAGGACTCCATTGCTGAGAGAAAAATAGGAAAAAGCCGGACTGGGATTTGCTAAAATGCATATTGACAACGCTGGAGCTTCTGACAAGTCACATCAGCTCTATGTTCATAGAGAAAACATTGGAGCCATCAAAGAAAAGAACACCGTACCTACTGTGAAGCATGGAGGAGGCTCGGTTATGTCACCGTACCTACTGGGTGGATGCAGCTGCTCGGCCATGGAAACCCATTCCATGAAGCTCTCTACGCACTGTTGTTGCGCCAATCTGACGGCCGCATGGAGTTTGGAAGTCTGTAGCTATTGGCTCTGCAGACAGTCGTCGACTTCTGCGCACTGTGCGCTTCAGCATGCGCTGACCCCGCTCTGTCATGTGACGCGGCCGACCACTTCCTGGCTGAGTTGCTGATGTTCCCGGTCGCTTCCACTTTGTTATAATCCCAGTAACAGGCGACCGCGGCGGAATATTTAGTAGCCGGGAAATGTCACGGACGGACTTATTGCGCAGGTGACAACCTATCACGGCACCGCGCTTGTAGTCACAGAGCTCCTGAGAGCGACCCGTTCTCTCACCAATGTCTGTAGAAGCGTCTGCACGCCGAGGTGCCTCGTCCTATACACCGGGGGCCACGGAGGGGATTGGAGGACCCGAATCACATGATGTGGAGGGGGGAGGGGCCAATACTTTTGGCAATAAAGTGTATTTATACACATTGAACCCTACGGACTAAGACTGGGGGGCCATTAGAGTTCATGTGCGTCTATAGGCGTCCAAATACTTTTGGCAATATAGTTTATATCTCCACTGCGTGACCCGTGAGGGCCGCTATACCTCACATTGAATATATAATATATTTTGGCATAACGCTTGCTCAGCCCCAACTTCTTCTAACATTTCTCTCACTTCCTTCCTAAGGTTAAAGCAGAGCTCCGGAAACAATGGAACCTCTTCCTGCTCCAGTATTTTCCGTGCAGAAGCTGCGTCTTCCGAGGTCAAGTCAAACATAAAACCCAAAGCGCTAAAAAAAACAAAAACGCGTTATTCTCACACGATGGGATCTACCCGAATGGAAAGAAGAAGCGCGAGGTGCACCTGCTTCCGCCCCCCGGAATCCTGACCTCTGACCTGGACCCCCAGCACAGCGCCGCCCTGCAGTACTTCGCCAGGGGAAGCGTTTCCGAGAGCAGCGATGGCGGCCTAACGATGGGCGAGACGATTGAGGAGACGGTGGAGGAAAGTGAGATCTGTTAGGAGGTTAGAGGCGGATTGCAGCAAATTGTCATCCGTGGGACAGAAGCGCAGAATGTTCAACGAGGAGAACCGGGAAGAGCGCGATGTGGCGGAATCCCGGGGCGCGATTCTCAATGTAGCAACGCCCGGGACACAAAACCCCTCCCCCGACTATGGAGGGAAAATCGCAGGTCCCGTATTATCGAATCCGAGATATACAAAGTGACCGAAGTCTGTGGTCCGGACAGAGCAGGTCTGATATACACTGAGTGGCCGGATTATTATGACCCCCCTCCCCCATCAGTACTTGGTTGGGCCGCCTGGTGACTCCACGAGATGGTGAAAGGTGATGCGAGGAATCTGACACGGCGCTGTTGCCCTTCTGTTGTCTTGTACCAGTCTTGCCCCTCCCCCGTTCTGCCCTAACATTGACTAGTCGCTGACGGCCACAATTCGCACGTTCAGACCCAGATTTTCGGCTGACAGTCCGGTCTTTAAACACTTTAACAATGAGCCGCTCCTGAACATGTAACGAATTCTGCTGTTTTGCTGATACTCGCTCCATGGCTCCGAGCGCCAACAATCATCCCGCGTTCCAAGGCTGTTACATCGCGTTGTTTCCCCGAATCTTCCCAATCACTTCTACTGTCGTGGTAACCAACCCGCTTCCCTATTTATAATGGTCTGGCCCTCTAGCAACTTCAGCGCCAAATTATAGCTAATTTGCCTACAAACGTCAGGTGGTCATAATAATCTGGCCACTCAGTGTATATAATAATCCGGCCACTCAGTGTATATAATAATCCGGCCACTCAGTGTATATAATAATCCGGCCACTCGGTGTATAATAATCCGGCCACTCGGTGTATATAATAATCCGGCCACTCGGTGTATATAATAATCCGGCCACTCGGTGTATAATAATCCGGCCACTCGGTGTATTTGGAACGTCCACGTGGTGATGCTGAGAACAATCTTTCACTTATCAGGGACTTTATGGAAGTGAAATGTTCCTTCCTGGCCTCCCGATTCATTAACAGAATAACGGAAATAAGAGAAATAATCCGATTCGCTGATACAAGTTCCGCGCTCTTTATGTTTGTGGCAGTTTACAGTCACCGGTCAGCGCGTTCCACCATATCGTGCGCAGAAAACGCTGTTTATATTCCAAGGACAATATACGATCTCTGAGCATCATTGTACATTATAGGACTGAAAGATAAACTTTATAACATTTTGTAATTACATTTGTAGATATTTCCGGTTTTTGTTTTACAAGATTTCACAAATGTATGTTACAGTCACCAAGAAAAACATTCAATTAAAAGGAAATGTATTTTATTTATTGTCACCGGTCTCTAGTGAATGGTGTGACGACATGGTGATGAGTTTATAAGATAAATGTGTATTGGTGTTGGGTTATGTTTGAGTGCGTTATGCTGTGTGACCTGGTTATGGAAAGACTATCAGCCCCATCCCCCGTTATCTCCCATTGTTCTCTGAGGGAGCTCAGAACAATGACATTCTGGCCGGGCTCCTGCTATGGCTGTCTGGAGCTCGTTAGCAGGTGGACACCTGTGGTGTTATGAAGACAGAATGTCCAGGGAGGGGGAGGGGGATGTGATGGGATTATATTCTGATCTGATCACTTTCTGTATAAAAGTTTGTGCAGTTGTTCAATAAATCAGAGTTTGTTTACCCTACACTGAGCCTTGGCTAGTGACTGGGGGGTGTCACCTACACTGAGCCTTGGCTAGTGACTGGGGAAACTGGGAGCTACAGATCAGCGGGTTCCAATATCTCCTCAGCAAGGAAGAAGACAGCGGCGGACATACTCATCCTGAGTACGGGGGTCCGTCACAAATGGATAGGCTGCACTCTCAGTGATGTCACCGCTCCCTAGTGATGTCACCGGTCTCTAGTGAATGGATAGGCTGCGCTCTCAGTGATGTCACCGCTCCCTAGTGAATGGATAGGCTGCGCTCTCAGTGATGTCACCGCTTCCTAGTGAATGGATAGGCTGCGCTCTCAGTGATGTCCCCGGTCTCTAGTGAATGGATAGGCTGCATTCTCAGTGATGTCACCGGTCTCTAGTGAAGGGATAGGCTGCATTCTCAGTGATGTCACCGGTCTCTAGTGAAGGGATAGGCTGCATTCTCAGTGATGTCACCGGTCTCTAGTGAAGGGATAGGCTGCATTCTCAGTGATGTCACCGGTCTCTAGTGAAGGGATAGGCTGCATTCTCAGTGATGTCACCGGTCTCTAGTGAAGGGATAGGCTGCATTCTCAGTGATGTCACCGGTCTCTAGTGAAGGGATAGGCTGCATTCTCAGTGATGTCACCGGTCTCTAGTGAAGGGATAGGCTGCATTCTCAGTGATGTCACCGGTCTCTAGTGAAGGGATAGGCTGCATTCTCAGTGATGTCACCGGTCTCTAGTGAAGGGATAGGCTGCATTCTCAGTGATGTCACCGGTCTCTAGTGAAGGGATAGGCTGCATTCTCAGTGATGTCACCGGTCTCTAGTGAAGGGATAGGCTGCATTCTCAGTGATGTCACCGGTCTCTAGTGAAGGGATAGGCTGCATTCTCAGTGATGTCACCGGTCTCTAGTGAAGGGATAGGCTGCATTCTCAGTGATGTCACCGGTCTCTAGTGAAGGGATAGGCTGCATTCTCAGTGATGTCACCGGTCTCTAGTGAAGGGATAGGCTGCATTCTCAGTGATGTCACCGGTCTCTAGTGAAGGGATAGGCTGCATTCTCAGTGATGTCACCGGTCTCTAGTGAAGGGATAGGCTGCATTCTCAGTGATGTCACCGGTCTCTAGTGAAGGGATAGGCTGCATTCTCAGTGATGTCACCGGTCTCTAGTGAAGGGATAGGCTGCATTCTCAGTGATGTCACCGGTCTCTAGTGAAGGGATAGGCTGCATTCTCAGTGATGTCACCGGTCTCTAGTGAAGGGATAGGCTGCATTCTCAGTGATGTCACCGGTCTCTAGTGAAGGGATAGGCTGCATTCTCAGTGATGTCACCGGTCTCTAGTGAAGGGATAGGCTGCATTCTCAGTGATGTCACCGGTCTCTAGTGAAGGGATAGGCTGCATTCTCAGTGATGTCACCGGTCTCTAGTGAAGGGATAGGCTGCATTCTCAGTGATGTCACCGGTCTCTAGTGAAGGGATAGGCTGCATTCTCAGTGATGTCACCGGTCTCTAGTGAAGGGATAGGCTGCATTCTCAGTGATGTCACCGGTCTCTAGTGAAGGGATAGGCTGCATTCTCAGTGATGTCACCGGTCTCTAGTGAAGGGATAGGCTGCATTCTCAGTGATGTCACCGGTCTCTAGTGAAGGGATAGGCTGCATTCTCAGTGATGTCACCGGTCTCTAGTGAAGGGATAGGCTGCATTCTCAGTGATGTCACCGGTCTCTAGTGAAGGGATAGGCTGCATTCTCAGTGATGTCACCGGTCTCTAGTGAAGGGATAGGCTGCATTCTCAGTGATGTCACCGGTCTCTAGTGAAGGGATAGGCTGCATTCTCAGTGATGTCACCGGTCTCTAGTGAAGGGATAGGCTGCATTCTCAGTGATGTCACCGGTCTCTAGTGAAGGGATAGGCTGCATTCTCAGTGATGTCACCGGTCTCTAGTGAAGGGATAGGCTGCATTCTCAGTGATGTCACCGGTCTCTAGTGAAGGGATAGGCTGCATTCTCAGTGATGTCACCGGTCTCTAGTGAAGGGATAGGCTGCATTCTCAGTGATGTCACCGGTCTCTAGTGAAGGGATAGGCTGCATTCTCAGTGATGTCACCGGTCTCTAGTGAAGGGATAGGCTGCATTCTCAGTGATGTCACCGGTCTCTAGTGAAGGGATAGGCTGCATTCTCAGTGATGTCACCGGTCTCTAGTGAAGGGATAGGCTGCATTCTCAGTGATGTCACCGGTCTCTAGTGAAGGGATAGGCTGCGCTCTCAGTGATGTCACCGCTCCCTAGTGATGTCACCGGTCTCTAGTGAATGGATAGGCTGCACTCTCAGTGATGTCACCTGCACTGTTACTCGGAAGCTCCATAGGAATAGATGGGAGTGCAGAGGATGTACGTTGGTCCATCCCGGAATATTTTCATAAAAGCTGCTTTGTGATATGCTGCTGGA